CCAGGCATTAATGAGATGAGATGGACTGGCATTGGCTGTTTTGAATCAGACAATCACTTGGTATACTATGCTGGGAATGAAAAGCAGAGCAATGGTGTTGCACTTATAGTTAAGACAATTTCAAATTCTATTCTGAAGTACAATGTTGTGAGTGATATGTCATATGCATACAAAGAAGACCTGTTAATACGACTATTATTTAAATACACGCACCAATGGTTAAAGTCAAAGAGAAGGAAATTGAAAATTTTACCAAATTCGGCAGTTTGAAATTGATCAAACATGCAATCAAGAACTATTAATGATAACTGGTGACTGGAATGCAGAAGTTGGGAATAATGAAGAAGGAATGATAGTTGTAAAGTATAGACTTGGTGACAGAAACAAGACTGGAAACAGAATGATCAAGTTTTTTTTTTTTGTTTTGTTTTGTTTTTTGTTGTTGTTTTTGTGCCGTCAAGCTTCAGCACTGGAAAAATCCTTGGTAAAGGACCAAAGACGGATAAGTTCCAGGCTGAAACCTGAGTGTAGAATGATCAAGTTTTGTACATTCAATGATTTATCCATCACAAATACCTTTTTAAAAAAAGACACACATGGTGACTTTATACATGGACCTCACCTGCTGGACTGCATAGGAGTCAAATTGACTCCATCTGTTGAAGGAACTGTTGCAGAAGCTCAGTATCAGCAGTGAAAACCTGGCCAAGGGCTGACTATGGAACAAACCATCAATTACTCACATGCAAGTTCAAACTGAGGCGGAAGAAAATGAAAACAAGTCCATGCGAACCAAAATATGATCTTTAGTCTATCCCACCTGAATTTCAAAATCATCTTAAGAATAAGTTTGGCTTTTTCTCATCGGCAGTGTGAGTGAAAGCCACCATCATGAATGACACAGTGACTATCTGGACCAGGAAGTTCATCACCAACCAACTACTGCAGCGGAAGAAAAGGTTACTGATGTTCTTCATCCTGGGAAGGCAACAGTTCCTAAGACAGAAATTCAAGAAAAACTAGCAAAAATATACAAGACCACACCAGATGTCATCTTTGTGTTTGGATTCAGAACCCACTTTGGTGGTGTCAAGACTACGGGCTACAATCCCAGAGGTGCACGGTTCGAATCCACCAGATGCTCTGCCGGGGAAGGAGGGGCAATCTCCTCCTGTACCAGTCAGATCTGATTAGACGGTACACGCACACAAAAATAATAAAATTAAAAAAAAAAAAAAGACTACGGACTTTGGCATGATTTATGACTCCTTGGATTATGCGAAGAAAAACGAACCCAAACACAGACTTGCACAACATGGTCTGTATGAGAAGAAAAAGACGTCAGGGAAACAGCGCAAGGAGCGCAAGAACAGGATGAAGAAAGTCAGGGGGACTGCGAAGGCCAACGTGGGAGCTGGCAAAAAGAAATGAAGTGTCTAGCAGTGAGCTGGAGATTGGATAACAGAAGGAATAAACAGTCTCCACTGACTTGATCTTCAATGATTGTGGCTTTTTCACCAGAGGATTAATAAACTGTAAAATCCTTTTAAAAAAAAAGAAGTTTGAAACATGGAACAGCAATGATTGAAGATCAGATGAGTTGTGAGATTACATCAAGGATATCATCCATGAAGAGAGTAAAAGGTCATTACAAAGACAGAGAAGAAAAAAAAAATTAAAACACCCCAACCCAAAATGCAGATGAGAAGAGACTGAAAATTGCACGAGATCATCAAGAAGCCAAAACAAAGGGAAGAGATGCTGAAAAAAAGATGTTGTTTTATAACTTCCTTATCTATGATTCTTCCTTTCTTAATCTAAAGAGACTCTGAAAATTGCACTGGAATATAGGCAGGCCAAAATAAAGGAGAGACATGCTGAAATAAAAGAGATAAATATATGATTTCAAAGGGCAGCTCAAGAAAACAAAGTATTATAGCAAAATGTTCAAAGAGCTGGAATTGGAGAATAAAAAAAGGAATTCACTTGATATTTCTCAAGCTAAAAGAATTGAAAAACAAAGTCAAGCCTCAAGTTGCAATACTGAGAGATGTTATGGGGAAAATCTTGAATGATCTAGGAAGCATCAAAATAAAATGGAGGGAATACAAAGAATCACTGTACCAGAAAGAATTGACCAACACAGAAATATTTCAGGAAATATCATATAATCAAAAGCCAATGGTAATGAAGAATTTCAAGTGTCACTGATAACACTGGCAAAAAAATAAGGCGCCAGAAATCAATGGGATACCAACTGACATGTTTTAACTAACACGTTAGCCCTGGATGGGCTCACTAGTCAATGCCAGGAAATCTGGAAGATAGTGACCTGGCTGACT